ACTTGTGCACTGTCCTTTTTCTTACTTATTTGCATGAGATCCACTGATTTCATCCTTTCTGCTTGTGGAAAAAATAAATTCTTCAAGGAGGAGCTCCCTACTGGCTTTTATGGGACTGTTTGGGAAGACTAAAGCAGTTAAGTGGATTCTTTTCTCTTGACACTGTTCTGTTAAATCAGCAATTGTACTGGGGGTGTGATGTGTGGTTTTTGTCTTTGGCTGCACAGCACAGAGACGAAAAGCTGCTCTCGCTGCGCTCAGGGGCCAGGTCACTGTTGTGCTGGCCAGCTGTGCTCCTGCAGCCTGCCCTGTTCTGCAGTCTGGGGCCAGGCTCCAGGGCAGAGCCTTGTCCCTAAAGCAGGGACATGCTGTGAGATGCACGGGGAATGCTCCGCAGGAAGGCTGCACCCCTGGAAAACTGCTCAGGGGCTCTGTGGGGCAGTGGAGGGGGAGTTAAAAGGACCCATTTCTTTCATCCTGTGTTTTCTGCAAGTTCACTACAGCAGGTGTAGCACAGTACTTGACCCACCCACCAGACTGTGATTTGGAGTCAGATGGTGACATCAGACTCCACATCACAAAACCAGAGAAAGTGACAGCACAGAATCATTTGAGCCTTGAAATTTTATTATCTTGTTTGCATCAACCAGTTATTCCTTTCAGCACCAGTAAAAGACAAAAACCCCTCCATATTGTTTAAAATACCTTGTTTTTATCAGGTCTGTGATTGTGGTTTTCTTGCAGGTAAAGAAACCAATGAAAATATTTAAATTTTTCCTTTTTTTTAATACATTTATAACAAAATGTCAGAAGGTGTGTGCTTACCATATAAAAACATTAGGTTCCAGAAGGATACAATACCGAAAAATCATTGAAATAAAAAAAGGTTATTCTTATTACAGGACTTCTAAACCTCAGCAATAATACAAGTCTTTAAAAGCATCAAGATTATATTTAAAACAAAATGGCATGGAAAAGTGAGACCTTCAGTAACAATTTGACCCTTGTAATGGATAAAATTGGGAGGTTTTCAAAGTGCTTGAATTGTATTTCTGTCCTCATCCTGTAGTGCCAGGAGGAGGCAAAACTGTTTCATTTCTGAGCTGATGATATGTGCTGACACTGCTGTGCTGCTGTGTGATCCAGGGTAGCTCACACACCAAACTGGGGACATCTGACCACCAAACAAAAGCCATTAAAAAAACCCCTTATTGGAATTGTATGTTCCTTAAATCTTACTGTCTAACCCAACAAGTATGCCTGAGGGTCTAGCCAGACTCACTGAGAGTGTTTCTGGGATAAAACTCATGATACTGGCACAAGGCAGGTAAGCTCCTTCTGCAGCCAGCAGGACACACCACCTCGGGCTGCAGGCTTCTCCTGGAGCCAGGCTCTGGTAGTTTCTGTTTGGAGGCTTTAGGCAGCTTCTACCAAGTGTCCAGGCTAGGATGGAGTAAATCTGGGCACCACTGGAATGAGTCAAATGCCTTTTCCCCCAGCATGAGGCTGGGTGTACCTCCCTGGGCCCAGTGGCTCCATCTCTAGGGTGCTTTTTTGAAGTGATCTAAAGTTACCAACTTTGTCAGGACCTGACACCTTCAAAACTCCTGGAAATGCTTGGTTTTCAACTGTCCTCTTTGAGCCTTTGGTTCACTTGTTCTGGATGTTGTAAAATGCAAACTGAACATGAGAAATAGAAGATGTTATCTAGCTTTTACAAAAAGATGACACTTCATCTGCAATATCCCTGGTGAGGGACAGGTAACAAACCAAGCACAGTCTTATCAGTCACTTCATGAAGATGCCTGAAATCCCAGTACAAAGTGGGGATAAGCATAGTAGAGTAAGCTTAACTTGATTTCTTATAATAGTCTACTTATAAATTGGGTCATGCTATCCATAAGCAAAGTAGGATTGACATCTGAAAAAGCTTTCCAGGGTTTGTTCTCCTGGGTGTGGTTTCTTTACCCCCCTTTTTTTAATGCAAATATTTTACTCTATAGTGTCTGCCTAAGGCCTGTGATGATTGATACCATGCCAGGACAGGCATTGTCTGAGTGGACTCTCTGTGGGGTGTTGGATGGAACTGTGGTGGCTGGAGTGGTGCAGGCAAAACTCCTTTTGTCCTGGAGGTCACTGTCATGGAAGGGGAACTGTTCATTCCAGCTCACTGCTACAGACACTCTCTGACCCCTGCAAGCATTGCCAAGGCAGCAGAAGGCACAGGATCAATGCAAAAACCAAGGAGCATCTGCACAGTGGTGCCACAGTGCTGAACCTCCCAGCATCACTCCCTTGCAAAGCCACATCCCCAAGACAGTAAATTAGAACTACTTACACTGGTTAAATGTGTGTGTGTTGTGTAAGAGAACATTTTACAACTAGCCAGTTCTTGAGCACTGAGGAGCTAGGAACATCAAAATCTAAAACAGTTTACTTCAAATTTGAAAAAAAACATTTCTCAGCATGTCTCAAAAAGTTGATGAAAGTGGCTGATTTTTCAGTCAGCACAAAGCCACAGAACAAATTTTAAAGTAGTTTAGACCATGTTAGTTTTGCTGTAAATAATGTAATATTGTTTGGCAGTAGTTTTATGTTTGTATCCCACACAGTGTCAAATTCAGCTCCTGCAACTGATACTTGGTGAAACTGATATCAAATTTTAATTTACATTATTAGGAAAACTATTAAAAATACTGTACCTTGTAGTTAGTCTTACTACTGAGAAATATCTGCTGGACAGCACACAAATTGCTACTGGTACTGTTTGGGTTTTTTAAAAAATATTAATAAAATACAAGCAAGGTAGAAAACAGGATTAAAAAGCATTGGTTTGGGTACAAGTTCTTCTGAACTGACTGGAGCAATAAGAAACCCGAAAAACACATTGCACATATGTGCACCCTCTGTATAAAGACAGACATACAAAGTGGGAAACTGGTGGTGCACTGGGGTAGTACACTAAAGTCTCTGATTCTGTAAACTTGAATTCCTAATTTTTTATAAAAAGGGGAACTGAGTCTGGTTCCATTTTTGAGTCCCCACGGGTTACACTTCAGACTACCCCACGGTTTGGCACAGTGCACTTTTAAGAGGCAGTCTCTGCTGAAGGAACCCCAGGACTGGAAAACGAGGCATAAAATGTGTCAAGACCAGGTGCAGAGGGAGAGTGGGAGCAGTGGCCTTGCTGCCTCCTTGGAATTAGCCAATACTGTTAGTCCTGTACTCTCATGACTACTACGAGTTTTGCTATTTGCAAAATCAGATCTAAGTACAAGTTCTGTTGTTTACTGTAGCTAACTAAGCAAGTACCAGAAGCTGTGCAGACTGAGATTTCTAATTTAGATCTATTCTGATTTAGCTCAAGCTGATTCACAGCAAGTGTAAACTAAACCAAAACAAGAGCGTCCTCAGGAGTCTGTGGGCAGCATAACCAAAACAGGTTACTTAATGGAGTACATCTAATATTGGGTTAACTCTTCTTAACACAGGGGATTTGTAATACAAGAGGAAATAAAACTAAACTAGAACAGGAAATAGGCAGAAGAAACTAAGTGAGGGTTAAAACAGAAGGGGTCTCATTGTTCTCCCAACAACACAAACCCTCTGAAATTAAATCCCTAAAAAATGCCAAGTCTAATTATGGACCTGATTCTCAGGTTTTCATTATTTTTGTTAAGGTTGCAGAGGCTGGGTAGGTCAGGTCATGGGGACAAGATGGCAGAGGGGAGCCCCACATTTGAAGAGCTTAATGGAAGGAACTTTGATTCAGGTGGCAAGACCCCCATTCAAGTCTGTGGGTGCATAACAAATGGAGAATCATGTCTCACAGACATCAAAACAGCCTCTGTTCCTGGGAAGCAGTTACCTAAGGCCAAGAGTCACAGTTCTATTCTCTACTCTCCTTCTGGCCCCATTCCACTTCCCCTTTAAGTGTACTGATTCCTTTAGAAAATGGTCAGGTTATTCTGCCTTATCAGTCATTCACTGTTCTACACCTTTTTTCCCCCAAATGTCACTTATGTTTATTTTTACTCTATATCTAGCATGCATTTTACAATTCATTTCCCACTTACCCTTTCTAGCTAAGGCAGAATGTTGGCTCTGGTGTTACCAATGCTACTACAGGAATCTATTCACTCTACTGTAACATACATATCCCATACCATAATTCAGAACTGTCCCACACATGGGAAAGAAAAGACATTACAGGGAAACTATTTCTTCTTAAGGGAATAGGTTGCATTTAGAAAGCTGAAGGCCTGATTCTGGAGTCATCATTCAGACAAAAGAGTTCATAATTTCAGTGGGAACACAGCTGGAATAAGGGTGGGACTGTGTTCTTGAAGTCTCAATTCCAAATCTTAATTATCCTTAAATCAGACAGGAAGATACTGGTCTGCAAATTGAAGAGTTGTTTGGTTTAAGGTCTACCTGTACTGACAGAAGGGTTTCCAGTCCCAGGAGGCTTTGGCTGGGCCTGGTTGTGCCCTCCCTTCCCTGCTGCCAGGTTTCTCTGCCCGGTTCCTCTCCGGTGCATGCAGTGCGGGCGCATGCGGCTGCTGCGAGCACGAACTACAACTGTCACAGGCTAAAGAAAGAGAAAAAGCTGCGGCTTCGTAGTTAGACAAAGAAATTATGCAAAAAACCATTGAGCAGCACTAACTCACAGACTAAGTACAAACTAAATTGTGCTATATATTAGTATAAAAACATGTTTTAGTAAGAATGGCACTGGTTCAGAAGGAATTAGGACTTCCATCTTGGTTCCGTTCGGTCCACAGTGAAAGCATTGTAGTACAGGCCTGCCCTGTTGCCTGAGCCACTTGTGACAGTGGCTTTTTGGCCACAGCCCCTTCCATTTATTCCCTTTTTAGATCCACATTGTTAGTACTTTCTGGGAGTAGCCCAGGTCAGGTCTGGTCATCTTTCCTAACGTGGCACCAGAATAGTTCATTCTTATCCTCTGATATTTTTGAAATATCATTCGTGTTTCCCTCTTTTAACCTCTCAGAGCTGGTCAGTTTAAGGGTCATCCTCTCCCGTAGACACCATGAGACGCATTGCTACTGGAAGGTGGTCAGTCAGCCCTGCCAGCTGGGTGATAAAGCTGAACTCTTCCACTTCCTGCAGAAGGAGAACAAAAGTGAGATAAGGAGCTGAAAAATCAGTCTGTCATTCCACACATCAGAACTCAGCCTCTTTGAACTACCTTAGTGTATGATAGAGGTGTGGGAGCAGCCTGGTTTGGTGGTTTGGCTGGGCTGGTGGGGAGCTGCCACTCAGGGCATGGCAGTGTGCTGCAGAGGGTGAGGTGAGCCACTCGTGCAGCTCAGCTCTCTGGATGAAATCTGCTGCACCTTTTCTTTCCATTTACAGTAACATCTCTGTTGTTCCAGACAGACTCATCTACAGTGCTGCAGTGGGTGATCCATGTGCAGGGTATGGTAAATATAGATGTGAATGAGCTCCTTGTTTTCATCATGGAACTCTGTAAGGCAAGGCCCTACACTAGGAAGCAGACTGCACCCTACAAGTTTTCTCTCTGGGTACTCCCTCATATTAGCTTCTGCCTACATACTGCAGAGTTGTAACTTAGGTAGGTTTATATAGGCATAAAAGAACATCCAGACACTTGAAAACATTAAAAAATATTCAGATTTCAGGCACAGGAAAAGCATCAGGCAAAACAGGTAGGAAGACGCTTAAAAGGAGTGAAATCAAGGTTGGTTGGTTGTTTTAGAAGAGCAGTACATCTACCAGTGCTGCTGCTGGAATCCTCAAACTCAACTTTGTTATGCAGTAGCTTTACAAACATGGTACCTGCATGCAGAAGTGGAAAATAGCAAAGCAGCAGGTCCTCCCAGGAGTATGGGTGGGTGTTAATCCAAGCAGAACAGGCTGCAGTGCCATTCAGAGAAGTGTGTTGTGCAAGTTACAGCCTTTTTGGCAGCTCTGAAACTCACCACTTTCCATTCCAGGTAGAGACCTTCTTCTGTGTAGAGCATATAGTCAATCCTCCTCCCGTTTCCCTTCAGTGATGCCTTCCTCCCCTTCTGACTGGAACCATGGTTCTTGCTGGTGGGATAGACTAAGTATCCTTTCCTCCCTTCTTCACTTTCCAGCGCCCTGTTTCATTAAAAAAACAAACAAAGCAAGTTTTACTTTTAAATGTTTGCTCATCCTGGCCATTTACACATTATCCAGGGTTCTCTCCAGATCCCTGGTAAGGATAATCCCAGTCCCAAAGGACTGTAAAGCACATCTTTTTCCAAATGTGATTTCCAGTATGAGGCTGCTCTAACTGCTGACAGTGCTCTTAAAGCCTCATGGCAGACTTGGTATCACTGGTGCTGTCCTGGAGCTCCCTTGGAGCCAGGAGAACAAACACTGAGAGGGGAGCCTGCTGTCAGTGCTGTAAGGCAGCTCAGAGCCCCTCTGTGGATTTCCAGTGTTGCTGAAGCTGGCAGAGGAGGAAGTTGTTTCCTGGATCGCTTTAGTACAAACCTGAGCACTTTGATACAAACCTCTCCATTCTGATGAGACCAACTCCTGAAATTACAACACCCATCCTTACAGACAGGGTATGGGTGAGGGCTGGTTTGCAGGAACACACATCTGGGCACATGGTGGGTGGTTTTGAGCAGGTTTCAGCATCAGATTACTGTGTCTTGGATCCCAAGCTCTTCCTTCACTAGAAATGACAGCCTAATTTACTTGATTCCTGTCTGTGATACTGCAAACTCCTCCACATGGAGGAGTTACTCAGCAGGTGTGTTAGCGCTGCCCCCACCCTGCAAGGAGATTACCCAGCCCAAGGCCACATACAGAGGCACTCAAAACTGAGAATTGGTTTTCTAGGTAGCAATCTTGTGTTCAAGGAAATAAGATGCTGCTCTCCCATTAAAATACTTATTTTGGGTGCTTAAACATTACCTGTAGCTTTTAAGCAGAAGACTATTAAGGCCCTGAGCAACTCAATCTAACTCTGAGCTGAGCCCAGCTTTGAACGTGACCTTGGACCGCGTACCCCACAAGGGTCCCAGTCACTGTTTTTACAGTAATCCTGTGCTGTTCTGTGCTGTTTTGCTGTTGTGTTGGATTTTGAGGGAAACTTGTTTTACCCTCCTGTGTTCTATCTAAAAGCTCTGCCAAAGGAGCAGCGAGGGGAGCAGCCCCAGCCGTGCGAGCAAAGCCGGACTGGACGCGCTCGTGCCGGGGTTTGTGCCCAGGTGACATCAAGTCCAGCACAGGTGAGTGGCACAGCCCACACAGACAGGGGCTGCTCAGGCTGAGGTTTTGCTGAATCTGCCTTAAAACACAAACTTTCAAAACTACCTCCTCAAAAATCTCCTTGCTTTACTCACCTGCCCTAACCTGAGCTCAGGGTTCTGTGGTTTCCCTTGCAAGAGTTGATTTTGCCTTTAAGCTGCATCATCAACTGCTGCAGGAGAAACACTGAGCCATGAACTTGGGTCCCAGCAGGAACAAAGCCCAGTTTCGCCTTGGAGAAAAAGATATTTTTGATCACCTGGTTTTTAAGACTTAACTTGGATGTTTTTTTTGGGGCTGGGTTAAGGAGTTTTTTAATGCACTCATGGGAGTAAGAAAGGAGGAAAAACAAGGGACAAGCACTCACGGTATGTTTTAATGTGTGAGATTCAGAGGGTTGCTTTGTCAGATTTTGGGATTTTGGAAGGACCTGAATGGTGGCAGAGGGGACCCAGCACTGGCTACAGCTGATTAGGTCTCAGTAGTATAACAACCTCGAAGTTTGGGTCAGTTGGTACGTTTCAGGTGCACTTTATGTGCTGCAGCAGATATCAGTGACAAAACTGATCATGTAGTCATTTGATCAGAACTTTTCTTAACTCCCTTTTGGACTTAGGGAGGTATTGAAAGTTCTTAGAGCTTATGGTAATCAGTTTATGAAAGTAAGCTTTATGTGTTGTTTTGTTTTAATCATAACTCACATTAAATTAGTTTATTGTCTGCACCACATTTTGATTCTCCAAAGAGCTCTTGCAAATGATTCACTTCCTCAGATTGTTTTTCTAGGTTCAAGGAAGCAAGCTCTTTGATGGTGCTGACCTCTTTCAAAAATTGTATTTATATTTGGCAAAGCTAATTAAGTAACAAAATAGAAGAAACTGCTGATTAGCTCTGCAGCACTACTGCAAAAAAAAATCTTATTTGCATTAGTTTAAGACAGGAATTTGTTTCAGCTTCAGTTATGTCTTTTAAAAAGTCTGTGAGCGCTGGGTATTCACTTAACTGCACAAGTGCTGATTGAAGGGAAATATTAATTTCAAATACATGAGGGAAGCAAATGGTAAATGTGTATGCATGTGCTGCTGCTGAGAACTTGCCCCTCTCTGAGCACAGGAGTTTGCTGTTTGTCTCTCCAGGAAGCTGACACAAGTACAGGACAGCTGGCTCAGTCATGCTGGCAGGCAAACCCTGACAATTGGAGGGAATATTTCTAATCATGACTGAGCACAACTAAACCAATTTTATCAGAATAACTGTCTTGATTCATAGGATACAAAGAAAGGGAGGATGAAGTAATTGGCACTTTGTTTTTCCCTGACAGGGTTTCAGTCCCAAATACCCCAGATCTGGAGTGTGAAAGCCCCATCTCTGGGTTGGTTGTGTGGTGCTGACCCAGCTGCAGTGAAGGAGCACCAAGAGCAGTGACTGCAAGGGAGCCATAAAGCAAAACTCCCTGATCCCAAACCTCAAGGGAGCAGCTCTCATTCTGGCCAGGAGCACCTGAGCTAAGGAAGACTCTTCTCACTGGTACTGAAGCCTTTAGCCCAGCACTGTGAGCCTCTGTCCAGCAGAGGAGACTGGAAAAACTTGCATTTAAATTTTTTCTTAGCTGTGCTGTAATGTGCTCTCCTAGGCCTGCCTCTGGTCAGGGTTCAGAGATAAAACTGGCTTTATTCCAGGGCTTAACTTAAAGATGACAATCATCTCTGTGAGATGGGATTATTTGTGTGCATTTCTTGAAGCCTTTCTGAGCAGAAGCTTGTGTGGCTTCCAGGACTGTGGCAGGGCCCAAGTTGTTACATCACACTAATTAATTATTTGATAATTATAAATTACTTGCTCATTACTTGTACCAAGTCTGTTCTAGTCTGATGCTTTGCATACACTGTGCTTAACACAAAAGACATAGTTAAGAACGAGTGGTTCTGCTGCTTTTATGGCCTATTTATTTTAGTAATGTGAAATACTTAATTTTAGTTATAAACCAGAGAAGAGTGCTGATGAAGAAATAATTCTCTGGATAGCTGACTTTGCCAATTTAAATGTCTGTATAGCTTTATCAAGGTTTATTATGGAAAAATCTGAGAATGGATCAATTCTAGGCAGTACCCTGCTTTGCTGTGTATGTGAACAATATTTGTTAGCTAGACAGTACCCCACAGCCACTGTGCTATTTAACATTTAAAGCTCACATTCCATTAATTGCTTTAAATTTCCTGGAATTTCATTGCAAATTCCCTGTTTGCCAGTCCTTTGCAGAGACAGCAGGACAGGCTCCCTCAGCCTCTCATGGAAACCATGGCTCTCCAATACATGAGCACTGCACAGAATGCACACATGCAGAGCCTGTCTCCCTGCAGAGCTGCAGAAAGAGCCAGGGGGATTTACAGTCTCATGGAGGGTTGTTTCACCAGTGCAAAAGAACTATAACACATTGCAGAAAACTGAAAGCCAACTCAGCAGGCAAGAAGCCTGATGTACATTCTGCTCCCAGCACCCAGGGCTATTTTTCACTTGTCACAGCCAGAGGTGCTGTGCATGCCCAGAGGTAGCAGAAGTAATATTCTTAATTTGTTATTGATTATTTGATGGCTCCCTATTTAATCAGTCATGTCTTTGTCAGAGGAACATTACTGCTGAACACAAGTAACTCTTCAGGGAATAAAACATAATACCCCAAAAGGAATTTTGTGACACATTGTCTGAAGAGGCCACTTTAAAACACATGGTTTTGATTTGGTTTGGTTTGGTTTTCTTAGGGGATGAAGGGTTTAGGTTTTGTTTTGGTGTTTTGTTTTTGTTTAAATGCTCCAAACCTGCTCTTGGAGTCATAAAATATAATGTTACACCCACATACAGATTTGCATTAGCAAACTTGATTGTAGAGCCAAATTACCTTATTTTTGCTTTCCAGCAACCCCTTTCACATGTACTAAAGTTATGTTTTTAATGTGTGAATAGAAATGTCTGGAAATTTTGTGATCTCTCAAATGTGCAAAGCAGGATTTGCTGTAAAAAAAATTATTTTGGATGTAAACTAAAGCCAAACCTGATGCCTAGAATTCAATTTCTTTGTTCAAAACTGAAAGAAAACTTCAGGGTGTGGCCTTACTTAATGCATTCAATGAAGTGTCCATCTATGCCATGAAGTGTACTGTGCTTGGTGAGAAGTACATCAACTTCCTATTATGGACTATTTCCATTATGTGTGTTAACAGAAACATCTGGACTGACTTCTTAATTTAAATAACTTTACTTCTGTAGTATATTTTGGTAATGCATAGTTAGAACATCTTTCATAGTTAGTCATGATGCTGAGGTATTTATTTAGCACAGTAAACTTGCCTTCATAGTAGAGAAGGTGACAAAAGGATTGTCACATTCATTAAGTGCTGCTCTAAAATGTACAAAGCTTATTAATTTCTCTCCACTGGCATATTATTTAACAAACAGGTATTCAAGAAATTTATCTTAAGACTTCTGTTAATTACGATTTTTTTGTATTTCTTGTAACTCCCCTAGCTCAAACCACAGACAGCTGTTTCTCAATGTCAAACACTCTTTAGAGGTGATGCTGCACTAGTATCACTGGAAGATCCTGAGCCATATTTTTAGTTCTGTGTGCTGTGCAGTTTAATTCCTCTCTGTATTTGTGAGCTGGTGTTTTAGATGTTGAACTCTGCAGTGAATGGGTAACTCAGTAGTTGTTGGGCTGGGGGTGATGTTTTAAACTTTGTGGGGTTTTTGTTTGAGGAAAACTACATTTCCTTTTTGCTGCCTTTGCAGTGCTGTGACCTCAGAGCTGGCTGCCTGCAGACACTTTCAGACAAGCTGTCCACGCACTCTTTTTGGGAGTGCTTGGAGTTTCTTGTGCTATGGGCCTGCCCAGGTAGGACCAGCTCAGGGGACAAACAGACACTGCCTGCAGCTCTCTCATCTTTTCACCCAGTGAAGCCAACCCCATTTGACTTAGAGAACCAGCCCTTTTCCTGTCCCCTTTATCCTCTTCCCCAAACACCTCTGGGTAAAAATTTGATTATTTGTTTTGTTTTCAGTCCATAAAATACCTCTCAGTCTGAACATCTGAAATGTTAAACAGCAAGAAATGAACTTGCTTTTTACAGAACTGTCTAAAACATGTGGAAAGGTTAGGAATTGCATACTTCTGTAGGTTATCTGGGGTGCACACTTCTTCATCATATAATCCTTCAGGATCCAACAGGGTACCTGTGAACAGAAAGGGAGATGTGAGTGTCCCAGCTCCTGGCATGTGCCTCTTGGGAAGCTTGCAGAGGCACAGGTGTGTGGCAGAGGGGACTGCTCTGAGAGCAGTGTTCACTTCTCTCCAGACCTCCCTACTACCTGACACCTTGCAAATGTCTCCACACTTCCACTTTCTCAGCCCCCATGACTCTAATGACTTTCTCCTACCACAGAGTAAAGCCTCATTATTAAAAAGTTCTACTTTAGTATCTTCACAGTTATTAAAGCCTCTCTGGAGAAAGTATTAATTCCTGTTCTAAAACTTCAGTGAGTTCAACTGAGTCTCACCAGGTATTAATATCTCAGAGTTCCAGGAAATCTTTTATAACACAAATCTTACAAATTCATGGAGTTGATTTGCTTTGTTACATCCTCACTGACAGTATTTATTGAGCACCAGATGGAACACTGAGCAGAAGCTGCAGGCTTTCACTGCATGCACAAAGTACAGAAACAATGAATTGGCTACCTTCCCCTTCAAGTAATGTAGAGATTATTTTAAAGGTAGAATATTTGGGGAAGGCATTCAGGTAGCTTGATGCACAACTTCTAGAATGTGGAATGCAGTTCAAGATCTCTGTTTGGTGCTTCATTATCATTCCACGACATATTCTTAAGGTCTATAAAATTTAGGGTATAGAAATACCCCTTATAAATATTTGTCCTCCACCAAACTCTTACTGCTGGTCAGCTGAAGCAGCTGCTGCTTAGGGCAGGCTGTGGGTGGCAGAAGAGAGGTGCTCCCACACTGAGAGCTGGAGAAGTCTTACCGATTGCCCAAGCCTTGTCCTCCCCAGGACCAACTCGACACGGGTCTTTGTAGTGTGTAAACAGAGAGTGCTGTTGCTCCAGCTTGTCCTCTGCAGGGAAAAAACAACCCAGGAAAAGGCACATCAGGTCCTGGTTGTGAACCTGTGCACAGCTCTGTGTTCTGCCACAACACCAAACCCTCATTTTCCCTCAGCAGGAGAATCCTAAATACAAAAGTTTGATTTGAGTCACTTCAGCCACAGCTTTACTGCACAGCAGGATCTTGCCTCTGTCAGAAACTCCAGCAAATGCTTGCTATTAACAGTGCTTTCCTATGCTTTCTTACAAAGTCTTTTCAGTGGAAGATATTTTTGGTAGTTTTCAGCTCTGAGCTGAAGTAAAAGTTTTTCAGTGTATCTCCCCCCTCTGCCGCTGCCATTGTTTGCTTACACAGTACAAAACTCTTGTTGAGATAAAACACCCAGAGGAGAGCTGGGCTGGCTTCCCAATGGCAAAGGCAATGCCTGTTTGTGGCCATATTCACTCATCTCAGGAAGTTTGAAGATAAAACCTTATGCTTTCTTTGCTCCAGAAGAATTCACTGACTGAATGTTTTCCAAGCTATAACAGATCAGAGAAAGGAGAGGCAATTGATAATTTGCTTGGGTGTTATCTACAGCATTAAAGCCATTCTAAACATAATCAGCATGACTATCAAACTTTAAATTAAATTCTTCCTACTTGCTACTGTGCTCCTAGCTCATTGAAAGCACATCAAGCTCCAAGGATCATTTGGTAAGAAATCCCACACAGTTAAATCTCAGTTACCTGAGACTTACAGAAAACTGCACACACCAGCATTTCAGACCCTGAGCAAACCAGCAGGTTCCAGTTCTGTGAGTGCTGCTTATCAGCACAATCGCCATAGCTGGGAAAGAAACTGGAACCTGAAAGTGCCAACAGCTACAATTCCACTGTTCAATGGCAAAGAAACCACAAACAGCTCCTGAAAACTTCCTCACAGCACTTACAGCTTTTACAAGGCTAAAACATCTTAGCAACACTTGAAGGCTCTCTCTTGGGAGAATATTCACCCGAGTTTGGAGCTGCTGCTGCTGCTGTTGTGTGTTTGTCACTGTCTATGCCAAGAGCATGTGTAAAAATGGGAAATAAAGTCCAAAACAAAACTCTGACCTGTGAGCTGTGTCTCTTAGAGTCCAGCTCACACACCAAGGATCACATCAAATCTCCTCATGTAAAATGCTGGTCTTGCCAAGGAAGAAGCTGCTGATCTCTGGCTGAACACAAAGGTGGAGTGAAGCAGTGCTGTGCTCACAGCTGTCGGCTCATTTGCCATTTTGTTATTCAGAGTCTTTAGTGCAGCTGACTGACAGTTCATCTGCCTCATTACATCTTCCCAGCTAGCTCTCAGTCTCGATAACATCCTCAGAACTGCAAGGAGATTGAAAAACTCATTTTTCAGGGAATCCTGGACTTGTAGCAGATGATTGGAAGACTGACCCTCCCTAAGTTCTGCCACGTGGCCAACACAGAGAATGGCTCTTTCTGTCTGAGCAGCCAACTGGTTTGTTTAATGTTTATGGAAAAGTAGAAGATTAAATCTTTGCCATTTTTCATTTCTCCAGGTTTTCTCTGGTTGTATCATATGTCTACAGAATCTCTCTCAAAACCAAGATAGATTAAAAAATATTAATTTACAACTGTGGGACTGACCATGACAAGTCACAGCTAATGACACAAAACTTTGCCCATCTGATTGGAAGTCTTTTTTTTCTTATTCTAAAAGGTTTAAAAACATTATAGACTTTTACACAAATCAGTCCAAAGCAACATAACAGTAAAGAACTTTCTGATAACATTCCCACTAAGTGTGAATTCCCTGTACAAATGTTGCCATAATGTTCTGTAAAGCTGGAGGAGAAAACTGAGTTGCAGGAAATTTGTCATAAGCATAAGGTCACTCATGGACCTAAAGATCTTTGAAAACTGTACTGTCAATATAACTAAGAATAGAAGCTTGGTATTCACTGAAACATTAATTAGCTGTTGTATCAGTCTGTGGAGTGGGGAAGGATACAGAAAATCACAAAGAGAATTACAGGAAGCTAATTATTGCTTTAAAAAAACTTAAGATACTCAATTAACCTATAATGCTAGCAAATGTCCCTAAAACAATGAGTAATGTAAAAAGGGAGAACTTTAAAACATTGCATTAATCTTGCTTAGTACGTATGGAAAGAAAGCAATCTGAAAATAAAATTTTTAAAAATAGGCAGCTTAATTCCAGTTTCCAGGCTGGGTGCATTTTAAAGGAGAGGGTGATGTAAATATGCATCAGAGATAGCAAAGATAAAATTAATTTTTATAACCCATTTTTCAATCCTCTTTAGCAGTAGTTTACAGCTATTATTTGCAAAAGCAAATGGTTATTTTTACTTTGTCATTAAAAAGACAGCTCAGAATTGCATTAATTATGCTCTGTGCTTCCTGTGAAAGATCTTGGGTAGAGTGCCAACACTTCTCAGGTGGAGAGTGCTAACCATATGTTCTACCTCACAGCTTCACTCCCATCTCTCTCCTGGTGCTGCAGAGCCCATTCACTCTCCATTTGTGATCTGACTGGCCAGTCTCCCATTTCGTTTGCAGCAGCTTGTTTATTTCCTTGATGGACACCTTTGCCTGCAGGCCACTCCATCCAGCCAACAATATGCAAGTGGGATGGTCAGATGGCAGCAGATGTGTCTGTTTGTGTCCCCAGCTCTGCCTTGCGCGGTGCTGCTGCAGCTCCCCGGCCTGTGGGGCGGCTTGGGCAGGTGGAGAGCTGCTATTGACCAATTCCTTCCTGTAGTCCCTCAAAACTCACTACCTCTGCTGCATTATTCTGCACCCTGAGATGTGTTTGTCTGACTGCAGCATTCTGTGGCTGCTGCCACTCACTCTCCAAGGAGAGCACGGGCCAGCACTGGGCCCATTCCGAGTTTGCTTTGGAGCCTGAGTTGTGATGGATTTTCTGTTTGTACATATGAGCTAGAAATGAGTGAGAGAAGGGCTGGGGTTTGGGCTGGTGGTGTCTTCTACCAAACTTTGCTAAAATCCTCCATTTCATGTGTCTTGACACAAGTAATGAGATTAGAGATAACAGTTTGGGTTTTTTTGGTTCAGACAGTGCTTTTTGTTAAAATTGCTTCTGGTACAGGTGTTGCTCTCTATCTCAGTTACCTGAGACTTACAGAAACTACAGAATCCACTGGGTGTTGTTGCCCAATTCACCTGTTCATCCACAAACCCTGCTCTGAACTGCTGAATCCCACTTTGGGTGGGATTTGGCTGCAGCCAGAGCTGCCTTGGGCAGTGTCCCTGTGATGAGCCCCTCGCTGTGCCTGCCCCCTGCTCTCTGTGTGGCAGCAGTTCAGTGGTGGCCCCTCAGCCCAGCCTCTGATCCATGTGCCAGCTCCAGCCCAGCACGGAGCTCTGCTGAGTGCCTGAGCTGGACAGAGCAGGGAGGCACAGAGGATACACAGACACAACACTCTCCGCCCCACGTTAGCAGTTTAACTGTTACACAGCATAATATTCATGTTTGGAAAAAGCTTCCATCTCTGTGAGCTCACCACCCATTAATTAGGGTTTTGTGGATTTCTTTTTCTAGTACCCTCAGCATCCAATTAAAAGAAAACAGCACATTTCTTGAAATAAAAAACTCAAAAGTACATAGCATCAGTTAATTTTTTTTCCAAGACTGATTCAGCGAAGTCGAATTCTCTCTGCAGTATTAGACTCCTATGTCTGTATATATGTATTACCAAATTACTTTTAACTGCATGAATTTACTAATTTTTCGCCACAAAAATCCCATACATGTCTCTCATCAGTAACTGAAACTGTTGAACAGTAAATGTCTACCTAATTCAAATAAAGCTAAACCACTGGATCTGTCCTCATTATTGCTACCACAAGTGACAAATTATTGCTCCTTAAAACCCATCATGCTTAATAATTCCACAGACCTCATGGCATGAGCCAAAGGGAGTAGCTCACACTCAGAGCTCATACCTATTTTAGAAGTGTCTGCAGCAATTAAGTTTTCCTGGCAAAAGCCAGTCATAATTTATTATATAGTCATATACTGCTATAACCCACAGGGATCAAGGACATTTCTATTCCTTTTCAGGACTGGTAGACACCGGGAAAAGGCAAATCTCATCTTACCAGAGGAGCAATTATCAAAGTTGAGATCTCCACAGAGTACATCAAAAGCCACCAGCTCCTCTGGATTGGCTGTACTGGAGGAGGAGGTAGATTTTCTGAATTCAGACAGCCAATCTTGAAGCATATCCAGTTGCTCACATCGAACAGTTGTGTCTCCTGTAGCAAACAAACAACCAAAACAAGGAGTAAGACCTCCTGTTAGAATGTTACTCAGCCACATATGAGTTGCTGAGCTATTGGCAGACATCCTGAGAAAAAGGCTGCAAGATAAGAAATGGTGTGGCCAGAAGGGCACTCGTAGTGCTGAGCCTGTTGGGAGCTCCATTAGGACTCACACTTCTTGGTGATTTGAAGTGATTCGAGCCAGGCATGTCTGAAGAAATGAGAGAAGTTCCCTGTGCTGCAGACAAGCACCCAAAACAATGATGTTTCTTGTCGTAGGAGAATCCTATGCACTATGTTTATAATCAGTAATTCAGAGCTAAAATCCTACTTCAGATAGAACTAGACAGTATGATCTGGGGTAAATCATTTGATCTCGCTTTGCTTCCTAATTTTTAGGAAGGAAAAGTTTAGCTTTCAAGTGTAAATAGTAAATACACATCAATGGTACATTCAGCTTACTTGTACTGTAATAGTCCATCTGAGGGAAGGTCAGCCTGTTTATGGTCAAGAGGAGAATGCCTAAACTGGAAGTATTTTTTCACATTTTTAAAGGTACATGTTGGAAACAGGTTTAGGTAGGTGGAAATCCAGAAATAAAGGATTCTTTTCACCAGTTCAGTGAGTTACACCAGGATGTGCCCTGTTCTGCATGGAAGGGCTGAGATTGATTGGTTGCCAAATGGAACCATCTGACACACAAAACAGCTCTTTAATTATAGCAACTAACCACACTTAACTTCAAGCATATCAGGTGACATGAAGTCTAACAAGAAATGATTACTGTATCTCTGTTACAATGAATACAGCAAATCATTTTGATATGGACAAAGGAGCAGAAAGATACATTCTAGAAACAATACTTTACCATATTGTCTTTCCTTTTGTTTTTACTGTCCCTAGAGTTAACAGCTAAAATTTTGCTTGTTTCAGACTTTTAAAGATATATCAAGTCAGAACAACATCACTTTTCTTCAAAATAAAAGATTTGTTTTCAAATGCCAGAATCAGAAGGAAGAGCAGCAAGCCCAAAATTACTTAGTCTGACCAGAAGTTTACTTTGACATAATTTACTACTTTGTAAAACCTGTTTATTTATGTATGTCCAGAGCTTCTTTCAGAGGCCACTGTGGAGATGGTGAATATTTAATTCTGCACCCTCACAGTTTATTAATCACTCATCTCAACTGCAGCTGTCACCAGGACTCTTTAGAGACTCTTAAAAAGTGAGCTCTGCAGCATTAGCGCTGTCATTGTGTTAGCACACACAGGCTCCAGCCACAAGGACTTCACCTTCCTACTGCTACTGCCCTGTGAAAGGTTGGAATTTCAACATCATCTCCTGGCAGGGGTGAGCAGGAAGGTGTTAAATCAACAGATAAATGCAAACAGAATCAGAAATGTTCTACCAAGGATTATTTGATATGATGCTAAACAATTAAAAGATATATTGAAAAAACCATGACTAGGTAAAGGTTTAAATTAGGTTCTGACACTGACTCATCTCTTCAGGCTGGTAATTCCAACAGCAAAGAAACGAATTTTTTTTCTTCTGTTTGTGTTACTCCTAACAAACCTTTACCAGCTAGGCTGTAATATAAAAGCAGATGTGTTTCCCAGATCTATTCCCTAACCTACAGTTTCTAATTACTTGTACCTCGGGTTCCCATTGTACCCTACTCACACAGCTTGGGAAAGCCCCTGCAATGACAGCACAAGAAAGCCCCATAGTGAAGATGGAGATGAACAAAAGCACAGGAAATAGGTCACATGGAATAAATGGAGCCTGGAGCAGGTGACCCTCACTACAAAAGGTGTGCGTGACTAAGAAATCCTTCCTGCTTAGCTACAGATAGGGGAGAAATTACAGATTCATGGAATGTGAGAGGATAGAATCTCTGCAGATCCTCCAGTCCAACCCTTCTGCCCAAGCAGGGATCACCTGCAGCAGGTTGTTCAGGACATGTCTAGTCAGGTCTTGAAAATCTCTATACTTGGAGACTCCATAACCTCTGGTAGCCTGTTCTGGAGCTTTATCATCCTTGCAATAAAAACCCATTTTTCTCTTTTAAATGGCATTTCAGTTTGTGCCCAGTGCCTCTTGTCCCATTACTGGAGCCCAGTGAGGAGAGGCTGTCTCCATGTTCCTTGCACCCTCCCATCAGGTATTTACACTTGGACAAGAGCTTTCTCCTCCTGAACTGTCCCAGCTTTCTCTTTCCTGGTGAATCTCATTCAAATTCATGGACTGTCCTCCTTTTGCAGCATCTGAATCTCCCTCTCCTGTCTCCTCTCCTTAGGCTGCACTTTTTCTGACCTGACATTGTTTCCTCATAAGGAGCTTTTAAGCATGGTGCTTGTTGGAAAGAATGCAGTAAAATCTCATTTCCCACAAGGTCCCAATTACATAAATTGCTTTATTTTCTAAGAAGTGCTTTTACATTCCTGAATGGCCAAGGATGTTTCACTCATTTTCTGTGAATTATCCATCTGGCATGGCTTCACCAAATGAGAAATAAAATAACAGGCCCATTATCACATGGGCATAAAACTCAGGCAGCAACCTGTCCCAGATCAGCACAAAAAAAATACAGAATACCCACTTAACTGAAACACAAAAAGGTAAAATTCTCCAACAGAAAAATCTTGGGAATAACAAGAGACACACAGGCAACAGATGTTGTATCTGATAAGATTCATTGTTGTTACTAGGAAAGCATTAGCTGCATTGTGACATACACCTCTCTCTGAGGATGCTGAGCCTTTGTAACAGCTCTGCACAGCTTTTAACCTCAGGGCTCGACAGGTAAACCTTGGAGCTCTGGGAACATGACTTCCATCTGTCTTTAGCCAAGTGTGCACTTGTGGCAGCCCAGCATCCCTGGCTATCCCACTAGAGGTCATAGAAGTAATTGCTCTTCAGGGCACTACTGGGAGCAGGGGCATAGAGTCAGCTCCATTTCCAGGACACAAGATGGGATCTCTCTAATGAATCCCTCTAATGAATGACTTGAATGTAATTGTTTTTTGAGATTAGTATTGTCCAGCTCACTGCAGCTCTCAGCAGGTGCTGCATGTATCCACATGCAAAAGTTACTACTCAGACCCAGTCTCAGCAGCTCCCAATGATCAATAATTTGATCAAGAGATGAAGAGATAAGTGAGGAGATGAAGATAAGTGAACTCATCAGACACCCAAGTAGAAGAGAAGCCAAAGTTGCATCCAGTACACTCGGGGAAAAAGACATTTCAGTAAATACTAGCAGAAGAGAACTAGGTGGTAACTCTCAGCAAAGGTTCAGCTTCTTAAACATTCAGATAGAATCAGTGATCTGACTGCCACCAGGGATTAGCCAAAGAATAGAGATTTGTGCTAATTGTTCTGCACTCTTTTCTTCAGTAACCGGCCTGGAAAAATGCACATAATTGTGTCGTGATGGTCTCCTGCAGTCAGCATTTCTGAATTCTCTGAAAGCTCCTTTCAGCTTCAAATTTTGTAGAAGGATGAAAGGGTAATATGGGAAACTTCAGCCAGCATAAATAAATACTTCACCCTTGTTCATTGTAGAATAATCATACTTGCCCTTTCCATTCACTTTGAAAACACTTGAATGAAACCTTGGCTTCAGTTAGAACTCAGGAAAAATTATACACTGACTGTTCTATGCTATTCTGAAAGACATTGGAAGGAGCACTGTGATTGTAGGACAAAGCACATACAGGCCTAGTCACAGGAAATTAAAAAATCTATTGGAGGCAGAGCAGTGTGGGATATATTGGCAGGGCACCTGGGGAAGAAGAGCAAAAAGAACTTGCAGAGTGTAGGGTGTAAAGCCTAATCACAAGGAAAAATTGTTTCCAAGTCACAAACCCAAGACTTCAGCTCAGCTGTGAGACAGGTTGTGTCGCACCTGAGTGTGTGCAGACCCCTGCACTTGTAACACTTAATCCAGGGTAGACTGAGGAAATAAAATAAACCAAAGAACAAACCACCTAAAACCTAAAGGAACAAAGCCCCCTTTTATTCTCCTGCGTTCCTTCTCAGCTGGGTCAGGTCCCCAGCCAAGTACAGCACAGCCTACAACAGCTGGGGCAGCACAGCTGAGAGGAGGGCAGGACAGGCTGCCCTGCTGGGGACACACAGGCTCTGCTACTTCAGGGACACCTGTGGAATCACTGCCTAAGGATGTCAGCACTGGAGCTACTCCTGATTGCACCACCACTGCAGCCTCAAACACTGAGAGAGCTTTCTCAGTTGTGCTTCAGCTCTGTGCAGGCTTGGGAGCCTGAAACTGGGGCTGGAGAAGTGTGGGTTCCCAGCAGCTGGGCTGCCAATGGCTACATTCACACTCAGTGCAGAACAGGGATGGGAGCAGGTTGTGAGATAGCATCCAGCAGGCTTCAGATGGGGCTGGAGTAGCTTGAGGCTAACTCTGTACTGATGGCTTGGTGGGGTGTCTGAGAGCCGTGACTCAATGGGACTCGGGATGTGGGTGGATTCAAGGCAGCAAAACCTGTCCAGAACATTAATCACTGGCTAATCAACAGACATAAAAGAACCATGTAAAATTAACAGCCTTGCAAAATAATTACATCAAATCTCATTAAAGGATCCCTTCATTTGTCACTGAAATGCAGCTATTTCCACAATGGAAATAAAGAGCTTCTTCATAGCAGCAACCAGTACCAGGCAGAGACCTGAGAGGAAAAGCTACATCTAATTCTAACATTTCTTGAAAAAGTTGAGGGTCAGGTCTGAACAAACAGTAATTGCTCAGAACAGAGTTGAGCCAGCACATACCTTGAGAAAAGCATTAGCTTCTTGTCCCTGATCATAAGCAGTTGGATCATTTCACTTTATACTTATGTAAGTATCGGAACTGTCAAGTGTAAGTTTACGTATCCTAGAAGGGAAACCAGGTTGCACTCAGCCATGTGTGACAAGATGATTTAAATGGCTGACCTTTTAAACACTGCTTGTTTTTATAGATACACATCTTTACATCGTTAAACTGGGGGTTTGGATAATTTGTTTAATGCATGAATGTTATGAATCAAGTGATGCAAATCAGAAAGCACAGCTCTGCCAAACTTACGAACTTTAGTTTTCCATTTCATTACATAAACAAATACAATATATCTAGGGACAGACTCTTAAATCATTGTCTGCTCTAGCTGAATGTAGTTTGAACCAGATAAGCCTAAAAATACAAAGCAGGAAAATAAAAGATTGTGTTTTACCCTTGAACAAACTTTAGGTTGACTTTGTAAATAGAACGTTACTTCCCCTTTCTTCTTCCCCTCCCCCATCTTCCTCTTTAAAATTTTAGGGATTTCACAATGTTATTATGAAGGACTAACTGAGAATACAGGACTAGGTAGTAAAAAGGCACAGGTCTGAAAACTAGAAACAAAACCCAAAAAACTAAACTAAACTGGAACAGCAATAAATCTCCGCAATCTCACAGTACATTACCGTAAGTTAAAAATAGAAAAGCAGAGAAGGATGTTACATTGTTAAAAAGAAGCTGAAAAATTCATTAATCTTTTTTAGAACCATCCAGTGTCTCTAATGGACTTGAGGGACCGGCAGTTTTGTTCCCAGGCCCGTGTGTGGCTGAGGCAGGGCTGGAGCAGCAGAGCAGCCCCCACGCTCACGCGGGGCTCGCAGCCACGTGCAGCCCTGGCTCGCCTGGTCCCAGCACATGGGCTGGCAGCAGCCACTCTGGCAGGGCTGTCCTGCTCCCAGCAGCAAAGAGTCACAGCCATGTGTAATGAAGGAAGGGTGTCCAACCCTCTGGCTAAATAAAATGCTGATCATACTCAAAGTAAAGTAGATTTGGTTTTTATAACTGCACCTACTCTGTACAGAACTTCTTTAAAACATACGAGCAAGAGAATTTTCCAGTGAGTATATTAACTTACTAGTCATTTAGGGATGAAATTTGCTGGTCAAAAGCCAGACAATTTTGGCTTTTTCCACCAGAAATCAGCAGCTAGAATTACTGTCCCAACATGCAACTTCTGATTATCCCCCAGTTATATAAAAAGAAAATTTTGTTTATATGCTGACACTCACATTATGGGTTGTTAAATGGTGTTGAGTAACAATGATAATAATGCATTTCTAAAATACCAGTATTTGGTTAAGAGGGAGCAAAAAGAAGTTCCCAAGGGATAGTTTTTGTTTGTGCCCCATAATAATTACTCTGAGACTGAAGATGTGAAGGGTTGGAGATACTTGTCTACCCTTCTTTGCACTGTTGCTCTTGTGCACAAAATTACCACCCCAGGCCTGGAAATAGTGACAAACAAAGATATGAATCTTAGGACAGTACCTGCAATAGCTTGCAAGTGAGTGCAGGAAATGTATCCCACAATTCTTTGGTCCTGAGGTGTACTTCCCACTTGCACCTAGAAGGGAAGAAATAAAAAAGTGATTAATGGAAGGGCTCATACAACTCTACTTCCAAGCCAATCTGAGCAGCCTTTTTTACAATTCTTTCCAGCCAACTCCATTTTGAAACCAGAAAAAACTACCAGAGACACACACTGAGCCTTCCTGATCTTACTGGGGCTTGTGGCCAGCACACTGACCCTTTGCACATCACCATGTTCAGTGTTTGGATTTTGATCTGCAACACATAAAAAAATGTTACTTTCTCCCGTTTTTGCAGTCTCACTGGTTCCCTGTCCCAGCTCTCATTCCTATGTACAATTCAGGCTCACCACTCAAGTGCCTTATAAACCAGTATTACCAGCAGCCTGCTTCTTGCTGCCTGTGTATGACTAGAATATGAAAGGAAAAATGCCAGGAAAAAGGATGAAATATTAAATAAATATTGGGTTTGATCATGTTTTCTCTATTCCACAGTAAGTTTTGCATTTTGATGGATTTTTTACATTCTTCTGCAAAGGTGTTGGGGTCCTTGGTGTGCCTCAGCAGTGTTTGCCTCCTTCAGCTCAGAGCAGCAGCCCCCATGCCTGTCAAGCAGACAAAAAATACTGTGTGGAATCCTGTTTTTCCACACAGAAGAGGAAGAGCTTCCAGGGAAGCTGGAATATAATATAATTCCTAATCTATATCTTAAACTACAATTCTTTAAAAATGTGCTTGCAGGTAGACGCACAAGCAAATTAAAATCAAGTTCTGTTTTAGGTTTTCAACTCTATTGAGAATTTTGGCAGTTCAGGACTTAGCTGCAAATCAAAATTCCCAGTGATAAATGGATAATTTTTGGATTGTAGCAAGAAACTGGTTTGAGTCTATGGTTTTCTTGTTGACAGTTTAAGTGGCAACACTGCATGAATTAAAGAAAATGCCCACAGAGGAAAGTTGTACCCAGAGCTCAAAAAACACCACCACAGATGACTCTGCTTCACAAGACTAGGCTCAAATTTTATCTGACACCTCTAAATAACAAGCAGAACTCCATTTCATATGGGCACAATTTTGTCAGCTTGGTTGGTTTTCTTGTTTTTCAGCTATTCAAGAACTAGCTGATATATTTTATAACTGAAAAGGCAGCTTTGCAGTAAGTGAATTTAGAAGTCATTTGTACTTAACAATGCCTTGTTAACTTTGAGGGTTTGTGCCAGCCAGGGGAGTAGGTAATAAACAACTGGCATTATTCTGTCCTCAGTCCGTTCAGTGCTTTTTTAGACAGTTTTACAAATGGATATTGATGGTGTTCTTATTGCTGTTCCCATTCAGCTAACCTGCTCCAGGGAGGCAGAGGGAGCCAAGGCAAACACAGGCAGTCCCTGGTGCATCCACCCCCAGAGGAGGAGATTCTCCTGAGCTCCCAAGACTGCAGCAGTCTCAGAGGATGGGCAGCTGTGCTGGATGGCTGTCAAGGACTGCTGCAGGGGCTGCACTGCACACACCTCTCCCTCCTGCCTGGACATCTCAGGGTCACTGCTGAACCATAAGGAGCTTTCTCTCCAACTTTTTTTATGCAACATAAGCCATTCCAGCAGGAAAGTGGAAAACAGTTTATTTCCTCTGCTTTCTGGGACAGGCATGTGAATGAACTATCTCTTCCAAACTTAATAATTCAAAATCAGGGTTTCTCTTCAACACTATTAAAAACTCCCTAAACTGTAGACTCCACTTGTCTGCAAATGTGCAGTGTTCCTGCAGCAGAGGACACACACCTTTCAGTGTCACCAGTCTGGAAGGAGAACACTGCACATAAATTGTTCTGCCTTAAAGCAGGAATGTGCTCCTCATAATCCCCTTATTGACTAAAGCAGATGGAATCATTCCAGCATTTCTATTCAAAAAGCAGAAAATATTTAATTGTAAAAGCTGAACATCCAAACATAAATTATAGCCCAATTGAGAAAAAGAGTGAGCTCAAACTGACTTTAGACTTTCCTGTGCAGCCTTAATGGAGTGCCTGACAAGGCCCTGTACTCCTCAACCAACTTGTGCATAGGATCATGCTAATTTCCATTAATCATGAATAAATGTGTATTGTTCAGGGTGCCTGTGTGCTCATCTGTGCTGAAATGGACTTTGGGATCTTTTGCTCACAAAGAATTGTAAGAAATGGCCCAGGATGAAGCCTGGCTGTGCTCTATGGTGGGGCTGAGCACAGCAAATGCCCACGGGCATGGTGCCCCAGGGCTCTGCTGGAACACAGCAGTCCCACGGGGAGAGGAAGGGGCTTTCATAAACACTCTGCTGATTAAAAAATAAAGCTTAAAAGCAAGAGCTGAAGACATTAACATAATTAGAATTTCCTTGGAAAAAGCCAGCATGGAAGTGCATCCAAAGCAGCTCGTCTCCCAGATTTCACATTTCCTCCAGGTTTTTTGACTTTTAGGGGCTTGTAGTTTCTTTTGAGAGGCAGTACTGATGGCAACCACTAACTGAGTAAAATCATAATGGAGGTAAATATTTGTGACTACTTGGAGAGTAAATAAATACCTTTGCATCCTCCTAATCAGTTCCCAGCTACAGTAGAGGCATTGCTGTATTAAATACAATCTGAAATAAAATAGTAAGAAAAGTCTGTTTATTCAATCTAGTTTGGTATTTCACAGATGGACAAGGCCTGTGGGTTGTGCAGACAGGAAACCTACTTGACCTCTGAAATACTACAAGCCCTGTAATTCTACATGAAAGCATTCTTTTGTGTGGCCAAGTAGCTATTTCAGATGTTGCATTTTCCAGGCTGTCCTGGATGCTGCCGGGGCAGCGACGTGGCAGGAGGACAGGGCTCCAGCTCAGCCTCCAACGTGGACCTTGGCACGAGGGCTCTGCTTCCACCACACCAAGTCAGCACTTCACAAATATAATTTTAGCTGCTTAACACAGAAGAAGCATCTCCAGTCCCATTTACAAAGGAAATATATGTAAACAAATGAGCCAGAGTGGCTCTGTCACCATAAGCCTGACTTTAGCTCACCTCAGCTGCTCTACATCAGTAGCTGTGTGTCAATAACACATTTATTGAATCATCCTTCTGCAGGGACCTACTCCAGGCACTGTTTCTGAAAATCACCATACAGTCTTTGTTGTGCCATGAGCCATTCCTCTTTGTGTTTGGAAATGTACAGGAAGAAAATATCTAAATATAAGGTCCCAATGTTTTAAAATATTTATTTTAAAATGATCACAGGAGGAAAAAGTTATGTGACAACCTGTTAAAGTCTAGAGGTAAAATTAAAACTGACAGAACATACTTGTGGTTTACTAAAGTGTCCAGTTACATAATTTTCACATAAAAAAATTAGCCTTTTTCACAGTTATGCTGAAATATGCAAAATTTATTCAAATTCTCACTAGATTTGCAATAATCAAATTAGTCAAACATTGAGAAGCTAAGAGTGGATTCAGATCCCTGTTATACCACTGACCATTACATTTTGTTTGCTCTTGGGAGGGGGCATAAAAAGCTCATTATATGTGGGAAAGAGACTTTTTCCCTTAAGGGGGAAATCCTATTAAGGGTGTGTTTGGAATCCAAAATGCCAAAATTTTCTGCTGCTGCATATTTATATTTGTCCCCTTCCTGCGAATGAAATAACAAAGTGCAAAACTGACCACTCTGAATTTTTGTTTTCCAAGTACTGGCTGCATAAAGCACACTAAAGTACTTGACATCAAGTACATTTTATTAAAAGATTTCATCTCAGTGCCACAGCACATTAGTACAATCTGTTGGAGACACCACGCTGGGACTGTGCTGTGCAAGACTGGGGATATTCCTAGAATTGTTTTGCAAAAGCTTGTCCTACATGACTGAGGAGTGGTCTGTCCTCCACTGAGACTGGTATCAGTAATAAATGGACCATGAAAGAAATCAAGGCAACAAGGTTATGGCAGAAAAATTCTTGTTGAGAGGAAAAAAACCTAATGAGTAGCAAGAACTGAAATTTTAGAGCTACAGCAGGGAAAAATAACTTGAAATTTAATCACACTGCTTGCTATCATGGGAATTTCCTGGGCTAACTGGAAAATCTTGCACATCTCATGTTTCACATACGCTGGCACAGTAAGTATACAAAGCTGCAAACTTGACAAATACCTTGTCTCTTAAGAGTTTATATTTACACACATCTGTTTCAGCAGTGCAAAACAATGCTATCACATCTGGATGTCAAGAAAAGCATCAACAGATACTTGAACAAAACCCATGAGAATGCTACTTCAGTACTGGGCCATTTCTTTACCACCTTGAAAAACAGCTTCAGACAGGTCATTGCTGTGTTAGTAAATCATCAGATGCTCTGAAGTAAATGCTCCTTAATGATTAAAAATTTGAATTGTGCATGAGAAATCTCACCTGATTAAAGAATCAGTCTAGAATCTCAAATAATGACCAATAACATGTACACAAAACCAAAACATGAGGAGAACTTAATCTTTAGTGACATTTTCTAGCAGCTTCACATTGCCAGGAGGGAGCCATTCAAAAATAAAATAGTTTCTTAAATGTGTACCCTCCAAAACAAAGGAGTCATTTACATACAAGTCCAAGCACATGTGATTGCCTCTCCCTTCAGGGGAAGCAAATCCTGGTATGAAAACCAGATGAGAGCTAAAGTTTTGGCATCCTCATGGAAAAAGTTCTTCACAAGGTCTGCTACCCCAGAATCTCCATGTGGCCAATAAAGCCAGAGCTGGGAAAGGTAAATAACCTGCCTGTAACACTGAGACTTCTTCAGGTAAATTGGGATCTCCACAGCCTAGCTCCAGCTTCAGCCAGTACAGTTTAATCACATCTTGGGCTGTAAATGAGCAAAACCTTCCATTTCATCCACTTAGGTGACCATGGAGGTGTCAGTTTTGCCACTGAAATAAATGTAACCATCGTACTGCTCCCTGCAGGGCTCCTCTGAAGAGGATAAGTCGCCAAAGTACAGAAGTCTACAGGAAATTAATTCACAGTCATGGCAGGAAC